CTCTAAGACCAACAATAAATAGGACTTCAAGAAACTGAAAAGCTTCTGTAAGGCAAAGAACACTGTCAATAGGACAAAATTACAGCCTACAGATTAGTAAAAGATCTTCACTAACTGTACATCTGACAGTGGGCCAATATTCAAAATACATAAAGAATTCAAGAAGTTAGACTCCAACAAACTAAATAAACCAATTGAAAAACGGGGTTAAAGAACTAAACAGAATTCTCTACAGAGGAATCTCAAATGGCCAAAACACACTTAAAGAAATGCTCAATACCCTTAGTCATCAGGGAAATGTAAATCAAAACGATCCTGAGATTCCACCTCACATCAATCAGAATGACTAAGATCAAAAATTCAAGCAACAGCACATGCTGGCAAAGACAGAGAGAAAGGGGAACACTTCTCCATTGCTAGCAAGATTGCAATGTCGGACAACCATTCTGGAAATCAATCTGGCAGTTTCTCAGAAAATTGAAAATATTTCTACCTGAAGACCCAGCTACACTGCTTCTGGGCATATACCCAAAAGATGCTCCACCATATCACATATCATAGTGAAGGACACATGCTTCACTATGTTCATAGCAGCTTTATTCATAATAGCCAGAAACTAGAAACAACCCAGATGTCTCCCAACCGAATAATGGAAACTGTGGTTCATTTACATAATGGAATACTATTCAGCTATTATAAATAAGGACTTCATGAATTTTGCTGGTAAATGGATGGAACTAGAAAATATCCTGAGTGAGGTAACCCAGACCCAAAAGGACACGCATGGCATGCACTCACTAATAAGTGGATATTAGCCAATAAAGTACTGAATAACCATAATACACCCACAGACCCAAAGAAGTTAAACAAGAAGGAAATCCCAGGCAAGGATATTTGAATCACACTTAGAGGGGGAAACAAAATAGTCAAAGGAGGTAGGGGGAGGAGAAAGCAGACAAGAAACATAGCAATTCTGTTATAAAGTCAGCATTGACCAAATCTAGGGATAAATGAGCTTTGAAGCCAGAGAGCCCAACTTCATAATCCAGCTTTGCCACCTAACTTTGTAATTTTAATAATCCGCCCAATCTGCCTATGGTACAAAATTCTTCCTGTATAAAATAGAAACTAAAAAAGTTCTTATTTCATGGGCAAAGTGCCTAGAACCACGTGTGAATGTTACATAACAGAATAGCAGGTGATGTCAGCATCACTGGCATTTTCTTTACTATTTTTAGACTCCTTATCACACTACAATCTGTGCTTCGACTCCAGCTTAACACTGTCCACCAGACACTGTGTCCACAGTGCAAAACAGCATCATTTCAGTTGGCATCTCTATCCACACCCTCTGCCAGCTCACAGTCAATCACTAAGAAGAAGGCTCATGCCAATTTCAACAGTCCCCAAAAGTACAGTGCATGGTCTACCCACACAGTGGAATAGTATTCATCCCTTAAAAGGGATGAGGTTCTGATATATGCTGCAGCGTGACTAAGCTTTGAGAACATTCTGAGTGAAATATAGCAGTCAGGGGTGGGCAGATATGGCAGGATTCCATCAACATGAGATCTGTGGAGTTAGCAGATCCAGCAGAGCTGGAACAGAGGACACCTAGAGTGAGGGAGAGAGGTGATGAGAAGCTATCATTCAGTGGGTGCAGCATTTCTTTTGGGGTGATAAAAATGTTCTGGACATACATTGCAGATTCATATAGTTGCGTGAATGTGCTTGGTACCACTCAACCATGCACTTAAAGAACTTAAAGCAGTTAAGTTTTTGCCTGTGTATTTTCTAGTTCACCTACATAAAATAAAAAAATAAGCATTTAAGACCCACAGAATACAATTTCAAAGCAAGTTGTAATTGCTCATCTGGTAAAGGTTGTTGTTAAAGTCTTAACTCATTCTCAAGTTTCTAAGTAGGGAACCACAGGAATCAACATCAACTTGTAGCTGGCCTTGGTCTAAAATACCCAGCATATGTGAGGAGAGGGCACAACTTAAATTGTTCATAAGAGGGATTATATCACTTTTATTTTAGACAGAAATCTGCCACGTAGCCCAAAACTAGCAATGCTCCTGCATCGGCCTTTTAAATGCAAGGATTATAAGTTTTTACCACCATGCCTGGGTTTCATTTTCTGGGTTAAAACAATTTTTAGTCCTCTGAAATGAGAGAAAGAAAGCTACTCGGGGGCTATGTGTATGTGTGGTGTGTAACAGCAGTTTTTGAAGGAGATACTAATCCTTACATGCCCATAATGACTCAGATACTTCTGCAGCATCTCCACTAGACAACACTGAGATAACCCTAAAATTAAGAAATTCAGAAGTCCATTACTGTGACATACAAAAGTACAATAGTTTATGCTGTCAAGATGGCTCATCTGGTAAAGGTTCTCACCACCAAGTTATAGCCTGAATCCAATCGGTCCAACCTGCACGGTGAAAGGAGAGAGCTGACTCCCACAAGCATCACACACACACATACTTGCACACAATCAGAAATACGTAACTGTAATAAATAACCCCTTTTGTTTTGTTTTTGCAAGACAGGGTTTCTCTATGTAGTCCTGGTTATCCTGAAACTCAATCTGTAGGCCAGGCTTGCCCCAAACTTGGAGATTCAGCTGTCTCTCCCTCCTGAATGCTGGGATTAAAGGTGTATGCTACCACTGCCTGGCTTACAAATAAACTTTCTATAAAGTGAATGTTTCAAATCTCCTCAAGCAAAATGTTTCTTGTATAGCAAAGACACAACGAAGGGAAGCTTAACAAGTGGTCACTTCCAAAATAGCAGGATTCTAGTCAAGGAAAACAATCACCTGGTAAACACCATACATACATTAAACATTTTTCAAGGAACAACAATTTCCAAATAACGAGAGTGTCATTTTCAAATACGGAAAGCCGAGAGCAGACAACAACGTCAGAGAGTGCTTAGCTGGTCCTTGCAGGGAATCTGGCATTGCTATAAGCTTTTCTTCACGGGAACTCATTTTGCCTTCATACCACCCATCTAAGCAATCCTATTGCTCTCACTGGACAAACAAGAAAACTGAGGTGTAGAGGGGTCAGGGATCTCGAATGGGCTTCAAGGTGCCTACTAAGCAATGGAGCCAGGATGTAAAATCTAGATGTGTATTGGTACAATCTGCAGTTTCATTATTGTATCTTACTGTCCACTGGTGACAATAAAAACGATCCACAAGGAACAAACTCAAATGCAAAGCAACTGGAGAGTCAAGAACAACAACGGTTCTGAGGAAGTCATCACATTTCAACACAGGACAAATGATGTTTGTGGCTGCATACTAGAAGAAAGAAGGCAAGAAAACCACTTCATGCATTTAAATTATTTACTGATAGCTACATTACTAAAAAATATTGTTAAATGTAAAAATCACTCATTTCTTGAATCTCTAAATAGAAGGTATTTAAAAAGCAACATCATTTTCTATGTATGTCACAATTAAAGATAAGAGTGCTTTCTCTCCTCTGTTTCTCTGTCTCTGTCTCTGTCTCTCTGTCTCAATCTCTATCCCTATCTGTGTGTGTGTGTCTGTAGGAAGGAAGACTTATTTCCAGATGTTTTAACTTCAAGAATATGAGAATTTACAACATAGCTACAAAGTATCAAAACAGGGCCTTAAGAGGCAGCTGAGTCTGAAAACCACCTGCTGTGTAAGCACAAGGACCCAAGTTCAGTACCCAGAACCTGAGCAGAAAGTTTCACCCAGGTCTGTGATTCTGGTGCTGGGGAGGTAGAGGCAGGCACTTCCAGGGGTTGCTGGCTGGCAAGGTCCAGGCCAGTGAGAGAACCTGTCTCAAAAGCAAACAAACAAACAAACAAACAAACAAACAGAGAGGCCAGCATCTAAGAAACTAGAGTTAATGTTATCCCTTGTCTCTACATGTGTACACATATTGCACACTTGGATGAGTGTGTACACACATATACAGGAACACACTCCCACATACCTACAATACCTACACCTCCACAAACACACACACATATACACAATTCATATGGCCAGATGGGTGAATAAACTTACGGACTCACATATGACTAATGTAAAAAGCCTGGAATTTATCCACTAATGGTAGTTATTTTTAGAAAATAAGAGAAGGAAAAGGTGAAGAAAGAAAGAAAGAAAGAAAGAAAGAAAGAAAGAAAGAAAGAAAAAAAGAAAGAAAGGAAGGAAGAAAGGAAGGAAGAAAGGGAGGAAGGAAGGAAGAAAGGGAGGAAGGAAGGAAGAAAGGGAGGAAGGAAGGAAGGAAGGAAGGAAGGAAGGAAGGAAGGAAAGAAGGAAGGAAGGGAGGGAGGGAAAGGAAAAAGGGAAAGAGGCCTCGAAGTCATACATAACCTTGAATTTAAATCTTGCCCTTTGATTTTGGTTACTGGTAATTTTCACCCAGTCAATTTCATGGAACTGAGCCTCAGTTATTTTCTCTGTAAAGCAAACATAATAATTCATAACAGTAATGCACCAGCTAAGGAGACAATGAAATATAAGTGTTGGGCACAGTCCCTGGAGTCTAAAAGACCGTCGACAGTAAACAATATTATTCTCTGTAGCTCCCAATACTGGACAACCTAATATTTACCAACTAGGAAATCACTAGCAGCCTTCTCAAAATCATACGGAGCACAACATACTCTGCTGAAATGAATGCGCTAACTGCACATGGGAACAAAACAAAAGCACCAGGGGTCAGAATTGAATTCAGCACCAACACGAGCCCAGTTGTCACCTCTGAAAACATCTCTAAGCACCGCTGGCAAGTGTGGTGTCCGTGTACCCTGCGGGTCACCTTTGCAGGTAACTGTCGCCGCTGCTTGAAAAGCACAGTGCGCTAATGACGCGGTTACAGTTTACGTGACAGTATCCCAAGGGCTCGCCCCTGGCAGGTCGGACAGGATCCCACCGCCTCACTCCACAGGAGGCGAACAGAATCCCACTGACTCACACCAGGGCATGTCGTATCGGATCCTACCTGCTCACCCCACCAGAGGTCGTGGGTCCGCATAACCCGGAGCGGCTGCGTGACTGCCGAGCTGCGGGTTACCTGTCTAAGCCGCGGTGCTGCAGCTACACTTCCGCAGACTCCGGGTTACCACGGGCTACCAGGCAAACACCAATTGCGTCATCAACACGCGACAGGATCGGCTGCTCTCCCCCCGCCCCCGTAGGCCTGTTCCTCGGCCGCTACTGCGCAGGCGCAGGGCCGTTAGGGGCCTCCGTTTCAGGGCTCAAGGTTGGGTAAACTGTACGCACCGCTCACTGAAATACAAATGCGTGCTTTTTGCTTTTGAGACAGGGTCTCTCTGTCTAGTTTTGGGTAGTCTGGAACCTACTGTGTAGACCAGACTGGCCTCGAACTCCGAGATCCGCCTGCCTCTGCCTTCTGAGTGCTGCGGTGAAAGGAGTGCGCTGTTTATTCTTCAGTCCACATTTCTGAAGCATGTGTTTGAACTTTACATATTCATCCCAGCAGTGCCTTAAAAGATCTCACTATGCGCCAGACAGATAGTTACAGTATCTGCGGCTACAGAAGTGGGCCAGTTGTGCGTGCCTTTTTGGAGACAAACTTTGGTTGGGAAAATGAGTTCTGAATAATTCAACAGATAATTCTGTTTTTTAAAAAAATTCATTTAGTATGTGTGGTGGTGTGCAAGTGTGTGCACCTGGCTGTACGCATAGGTACACGAATGTACAGGTGCGGGGTGGTGGGCAGAAGAGGGTGTCGGATCCCCTTGGCAGGAGTTGCAGATACACCAAACCCAGGTCCTTTGCAACAGCAGCCACTTCTCTTAACCACTAAGTCATTGCAGCACTCCATCAGCTAGTTCTCCTATGTGCACTCTTAAAGGTAAATGTATGGAAGTAAGACTCCGAGAAACAAAGGGCAGGCATAGCAACTTCACTATAGAAGGTCCAGTATCCTCTGAGGAGACTCATTTAACTGGGAAGAGAGGAGCAGTCAGAAGGAACAGAAGCACCTAGCACACGCAGCTTGTGGCCGCATTGAAGTAGGATGAGAAGGAGCACAGGGCGAGACCAGCAAGGCCCAGAGGCCTGAGCCTGCAGCACCTTTCTGGGACACTGTAAGCAAGGAGCGTGGATGCTGTCATCAGAGAAGAGTGAGTGACAGGAACTAGTTTTGAAACAACGAGCAGGCTGTTGTGTGCTCTGGGCATGAAGCACATAGAAGGGTTTGGTGAGATGTGATGGAAAAAAACGGATACATTTAAGAGGCAATTTGGAAATTGAGGTGACAGGTGGGGAGGATTAGATTAAAAGTCTAGACAGAAAAAAAAAAAGTTACCAAAAGTGACTGTTAGATTTGCTAGACTCTATAGCGAGAACCAGGTTCGTTCCATCTTTCAGTCCTGATTCCTTTACCTATTACCCAACCCTTTAGGACCACACACACACACACACACACACACACACACACACACTCACTTTACCTTTTTCTTAACTCTTTCCCTTTTCATCCTCTTACGTTACCACCCACAAGCCTTCAGCAGGCTTGCAGTTCTAAGGGAGGAAGCATGTGAAGAAGCTAAGGAGTGGGGCTCTCTTTCCCTGCTCAGTTTTAGTTCACTTTGTCCACTAAAACACTGGCCTGTGTGTAATACTCTGCCACTCTTAAAAAGAAATAGTTATGAGGAGCTGTGGCCCATCGAGGTTAAACCTGACCTAGTCTTCCCTGGAAACAGGTTCCTTGTCAGGATTTAAGATGAAAACTCAGGTGACTCGTAAAGATATCCCCCCGTGGGTGAAAATTCCTACCGACCTGGAAAAGCCAGAAGTATTGCAAGTCAACAAGCTGGTGCTAAACGCTCTGTTCGGCCCACAGGGATCTCGAATGCCTCACTTCGAGCAGGTGGGCCGGGTCATGTTTGAGCTCAAGACTCTGGAATCTTCCGATCTTACCGAGATGTTAATTTATGGCTCTGAATAAAAGACGTTTCGGACTAAATGGATGCTTCAGTCCATGGCTGAGAGGTACCGCCTGCGCCAGGAAAGAGGCGTGCTCAAGCTGGAGGAAGGCATGGAGGTCCTGGAACTAGACCAGGGTTCGAAGAAGTAAAGCCAGTTTCCAGTCATTGTGAGTCCCACCTGGACACAAGCTGTGGCTGGCCAGTGTTTGGTTCTGACATGAGGTTTTTTTTTTTTTTTTTTTGGCCTGACGTGAGTTTTAACTTTGTTAGGTCCTTCAAGATATTCTTGGATCCCTACTGTGTATTCTGATGTGAATATCTGCATGTCATCATTAAAACATTTAAATAGCCAGAAAAAAAAAAAAGAAATAGTTATAAAACTACCTGTCCACACAGACTTTCCCAAGTCTTTTTAAAAGATTTTTAAAAAATTTTAATATGTATATGTGGGGATACATGCCCATGGGTGCAAGTATCCATGGAAACCACCGTCACTGATCCCCCAGAGCTGGAGTTACAGGCAGATGTGGGTGCTAGGAGTCAAACTCAGGCGCTTAACCTTTGAGCCATCTCTCCAGCCTCCCAAATCTCCAAAATCCTACACATTAGTGGCTAACTCATACTTTGTTAAACTTTCTTTTCCTGGCCAGCTGAAACTGCAGGCTACCTTCTCTCCTATCAGGCCATGAAATCTTTCCCTAGCACCCACTGAGATCATGTGAAAAAGACTGAAAAGTCAAAAGCACTTTTTACGTGTCTCAACTGGACAAAGTCCAATAAAGGAATGGAATTTGTAACTACTGACTGTCCTCCAGCATCCAATCTCTCTTCTTCATAGGAAGGAAACTTCAATTTTTAACTTTAGGAAGAAAGAGCTCATAGCAGAACCACATGATCTCAGTGGGGGCTACGAAAAGATTGCATAACCTTATTAAAGTCTGCCTTCATTCTACCTTTTCTGATATCCTAGGCTGACCTATGAAGAACCCACAGGAAGTAAAGAGTGTCTGTATAGTCAGTGGAAAAATAACATGTGCCAAGTCTTCATATTTATACTCCAGAATCTCTGGGTTTGGGGGCAGTAAATCTCCAGCCACTAAAGGAAAACACAAACCATTCCAAACCCCTACTACCTGTATGACCCAAGAAACTAAACTTTTATTTTTCTCGTCTGACAAACCAGAGAATGTTGATAAATTACATTTATCATTTTAAAAATTTTCAACTTTATATTTCTTCTACCTACACGTAGTAGGGAAGGTGGTCACATATGCCTGCAATTTTGTAACAGAATTTCCTCAAGCCTAAGAAAATCAGTCTTGGCTCGATGAGAGGCAGATGGGATGACTGTTAAATCAAATGCAGGATTCTGGAAGAAAAGCCCTAGGAGAGCAGGGCGGGTTAGCAGAGGAAAGCTAAATGTGATGGATGCTAAGTAACACCTTGGTGCCTTGGTCCATGTGAGTCAGAGAGGTTGCTGCAGACATCATATGCAGCCTACATTGAGTTGACCCCCAGGGCCTGTAGTCAAGTGTGATACTGGTGTCTGATGCCAGAAGTACATATGGGTGAGGATTTGGCCACACAGCGTGGAAGCATTTGCCACTGGGACTGAGAAGGATGATCATTTTATTAAAGAACAGACAATAAGAGCCACAAGCAGAAATCACAGTGTCATTAACAGGAGGATGGGACGTAGATGCAGAGAATGTGGTCCAGAACCTGGCAGCAGAGGTACATGCCTGTAATCCTGGCATCTGGGAGGCAGAGGAAGACAAACACCTCAAGTTTAAGTCCTGTATGTTCTATATCAGTGAGTATGTTCTATATCAGGCTATAAGGAGGCTCTGTATCAAGTAAACAGACAGCAATGTTTCGGCCCTGGTTGGTGCAGAGCCTCTAGAGGCAGAGACTTCTCGGTGATGCTGTGAGCATTGTGCAGCACACAGAGTAGAAGGAGGATGCACTAAGCGAGGCATCAATGTTCCTGATACTTATCTCAGATTCGTTTTTCCTCCTTTCGGTAGCATTGACCGTAAGATGCCATGTGCCAGGGACATGTCTGGGACCTTGCAATACAAACATGAAAAATATATCCTCAACATCAAAGAACTCACTCTCCGTTGAGGAGATCAACACAGCTGATTGCATTAGAGGTCAGAGTTCTAGACTTGTGTCCTAGGTGGAGTAAATCCAGGATTGGGGACCGAGAGGCAAAGCAAGGAAAGGAGATAAAGTTAGGATGGCAAGTTAGATACCTAGAGGAAGAGGCCACAGGAAGGTGTCCAGTCCAGGGTATCTTGGAAAAGGGAAGCTGTTACGGATCTACTCGCTTCCACTACATGTGTGCCTCATTTGAAAGAAATCATTTAAAACCATGGAGCAGGTCTCAACTTAGCTAATAAAGAAATAATGGAGAAAATCAACATATTCTAAGTAGTAAAACAGCACCAATTTTAAAACTACCTTTACTATAAAAGTAAGAGGAAAAGTGCAACATAAAACCAGTAGGGAATTTGGCATCGTATCTGAGAACTAATGTATCAATATCAAGCTCGAGGGCTGGGGAGAAGACTCACTGAGGAAGTGCTTGTTGTACAAGCATACAGACCCAAGTTCAAATCCAGGCGACATAGAAAAAAACAGACAGGACTATGCAGCTTCAATGCTGAGGGGAGACAAAGGCACTAGGTTGCTGTTAACCAGCTTAGCTCCAGGTTCAGGGCAAGAGCTTCAAAGGAATAAAGGAAGGCACTGGATGTCCTTGGCATGTTTCCCCACCTGTCTATGCAATATGCACACCATCACCACCACCACCAACACCAGCACCAGCACCAGCACCACCACCACCACTACCATCACCACCACCACCACTGCCACCAATCTGGTTTTATGGACATAATTGCAATTCTCAGTGGATTCTCCAGTTTCCTCATCAGAAACTTTGACTCTAACTTGGCTTTTTGTGCTGCCAGAAAGTAGAAACATGCACAGTGTGAAGTGGAGGGCGTTGTTCCTAGGAAGACAGGACCTATAAGAACTTAGTGAAGAGACATGAGCAAACCTTCAAGTCGGATGCCAAATTGAAGCTCCACAAGTTCTATTTGAGAAGTGGCAGGT